AATATATGGTTTTTCAGAAGAGCGTGATGCCAGTTCACAAAACAGCTGTACCGCACAAGCTACAGGTTTAACAACAAATTTGATGGTTACAACATTTCAAAGGAGACTGAAAAATTGTTGAGATGTGTAAATAGTACAGCATTTATTTCTCAATATTGAGGGTATAAAATCATCTGTTAAAGAAAAGTAGTATAGCCCCTGATTTCCAACTGCTTGACGTTTTGTGCTATATCTTAGGTCACCATGGGGTTGCAGTTACGTCTCTTTTGTTTTGTTTGAGTACAGAGAAGCACATCAACACAATAATGGTCATTTATTGCAGGGAAAAATACGACAGACAGACAGACAGACAGACAGAAACAGCAGAGGGAACAACTGGAAATATTAGGTGCGTCCCGCGCGCTCATATGACCGTATGCAGTTGCGAGCGCCGTAAAACACTTTACAAAAACAAACATACAGCAGAGGGAAAGTAAAGAAGTAGGACCTTCCAGTGGCGCCCTCCAACTACCCGAGCAATTACGTCTTTCAGGAACTGGAAACAACAGGCTGTGTGCATTGTGACGCTCAAGGATATAGGGGGAGGGGGGCTATACTTTACTTTTACCAAGTCATCTATAGCACCAGTGGTTTTACTTCCAAATGATACAGAGTCCTACTACGGAAAGTTTCCTTCTTCAACCTTCCTTCAACATGAGCGAAGTAGCACAACAAATAAAGATTATATTTTTCAGACAAACAAATGGAAGGCTTTTTTTTCAAAAGGGCAAAACTCCTGGATAGAGACTGGGCATCTAAGCTCTCCCTCCTACATTTAACAAGAGGCCAAAGACAGCAGGAGGATTACAACATACACTAGAATACTTTTTTAAGCTGCTCCATTTCCCTATCATCATCAGCAAAGAACAGTAACGTAAGCAGTAAAATTGCAGGTGATTTACCTCTAATTTCCTCAGTTCATTGAAATCTTAGCCAATAGTCACAGGGAAGTCTTCAGTGGCATATATTATTATAGTAAAACTGTAATTTAGCTCTTTTTAACATGTTTAACATTTTGCCACAGAGTAAGACAGAAGAGATAGGAGAGAAAACCAGGAGGAAAAACCAGTACAAGACAATCCACCAGGCAATAACTGAAATTGACAATGTAATATACAATTCAAAAAACAAAAAAACAGCTGAACAAAACAAACCACAGTCGAACCTGACATTTTCTATATTAAAAAGACACTGTCTAAGATGTCCATGTGTCAAAGATAACCACTTTCATACCTGCCAACATTGCCTGGGCCAAAATCTGTAGTTGGACGCAAATTTTTGTCCAAAAATCTGTAGTTGACCTAAAAAACCTGTAGTAGGCTATATTACCTCTTGTCGCATACTTAATTTGGGACCCTTATCAATATTTTATTTTGACCCACATCAAATATGCATGATTGTGTTTGCGACTTCAAAAAAATGTAGAAAATGACAAAGAAAAAATTACAAATATGAAAACTACCAGAGGCATTTACCCTATTAGTAGTTGGTGCAGTTCCTGTCCTACTCATACCTGCACGAACACACACACAAATGAAACCAAAAAACCACAACCCCCCCCCCCCCCAAAAAACAAAACAAAAACAGAAGCAAAGATGAAGAAAAGGTGGGCCTTGGATGACTTAGGTCTAGCCTTGGCCTTTTGTCTTTGCAGAGTTTGCAAGGAAAGAGTATGACGGATCCCGAGTCCACACAAGGCCTGCACCAACACTCGTTTTGCAGAGAGTTTTCTAGATCTAGATCCAGAGGTTATCAAAAATTTAGAATACTAAAATTAGCTTCCAAGTTCAGTTTTTGTCCCATGGCCTGGTGTTGCCAACAACATCAAGGTAGCAATATAATAACAATTACCATCGGTGAAAGGCACTGCTTCCTGTGGGTGGCTGTAGTTGCTGCTACTATTGGTGTTGTGATGGTCAGTCTGGTGGACGTGACCTGGGAGAGAGAAATAGATTAAAAGATTATTCTTCTCCATAAAATCACACTCTGAGTTTAATCATTAGAATTTCAATTTTTATCATGGTCCATACATGTGATACACAAACTCATGACATTGTCATCACTGTTCTAAGTTGTAGTTTACAGCAGGTCAGCACAAGAACAGCAGAACAGCAACGTTTCACATGGACAGCAATGTTCACAAAAACAGTAATGTTTCACATGGACAGCAATGTTCACAAGAACAGCAACATTTCACATGGACAGCAATGTTCACAAGAACAGGAACGTTTCACATGGACAGCAATGTTCACAAGAACAGCAACGTTTCACATGGACAGCAATGTTCACAAGAACAGCAACGTTTCACATGGACAGCAATGTTCACAAGAACAGCAACATTTCACATGGACAGCAACGTTCACAAGAACAGGCACATTTCACCTGCGGCAGACAAAGACAAATGTAACTATGAAAGCAAGCGGGGAAAGCAGAACACACAAGACAGCCCATGGTGATAGACCCAATTCACAACCCAGAAGACTATATCACAAGTCTTCACTGAAACCATTTTCCAAGCCTTCAGCTGCCGACCCCCCCCTCTTAAACAATAATTTGATCTGCAGTAGATCACTATCTGCACAACACAACAGGGGCCACATAAGAATCAGCAAGTGCTGACAAATGGACGAGACTGTCAAACAACGCTTGTTTGATTGCTTCACCCTTACTGACAAAAGGCCAGAGTCATTGGAGCTATGGGCAGGCTCTTCCCAGAAACAATGTAAAATATGAGTTTGGTTTCCAGGTGGGAAAGTCTTGTATCAAATATCTTTGTCTGTCTCCTGACATACTGTATCCCATTCAGCCCAATTTAGCTCTGATAGGCAGAACTGAAGCAGCTAGCCTAATTAATTATGATCAGATTTATGTCGATGGAAGCATAAAATAAACACACTCAATCAAGAGACATGGAGAGACAATACCCTCTCTTGCAGTCAGGCACAGACACTACTCTATATATAGAACAACTCGTCAGTTGTGCCACACGTGTACACATCACTACATGGCACAGGGGTGATAAGCAAGAGCCCACACAGGCTGTTGAATCTATAACAACCATCGTATCTCTGGTACATCCAGAAGAATTATCTGTTTCACTCTTTCTACTTCACCATTGCCTTTCTCACCCTGCATCAGGATATAGGCCACAAACAAACACTTTACACCTTTTTCTCCCCTGGGCTAGCCTCTGGATGTTATTTCATGTCTTCACACTTTTTTGTACATCAATTTCTGTGATTCTTCTCCAAGTTCCATGCTGTCTTCCCCTTGATCTTTTACCTTTTGGATTCAAATCCCAAACTTTGTTATGCATCTGCCTGACTTCCTGAGAGTATGTCCAGATCCATCGCCACCGCCTTCTTCCTACCTCATCTCTGACTGGTATCTGTCTTCTTTTACTCTTTCTACTTGCTACACTAAAAAAATTTTTTTATCTAAGTCATACCTATGAAGCAAACGATGTCTAAACTTATGTTGCCACACAGCAAATTAACGCCACCTTTCTGTTTAAAAATTTTCCTTCAGAGATCCAGAGCATGGGCTGAAAAAGCAGCAAAAGCAGCAATCGAAAAAAAAAATTAAAAAATTATTTTTCAAGCAGAGGGAGGTATACACCAAAGTTACACTTTAAAGTTTCAACACATTTTATATGGCCTTTTTTGAATACATTATTAGTAGACTGATATCCTTCAATAAAGCTTTATTTTCATTACAAATAAACCGCAAATAAAAATTTCACAACAAGTTTAAAAAGCCAAACGCAGAAAGCACACTAAAAGGTTTCTATCATATCCAGATCCTTCTTAAAAACACAATCTGACAAATAAGTTTTTTTGGTTTTTTTAATTTACATAAGATCACTGAGGAAAGCAAAAACAAGCAATACCTAAAGAATAAAAAAGAATGAAGCAGGGTAAGAGAGGAGTCAGAGTGAGGTCAGAGTGGGGTCAGGGTGGGGTCAGGGTGCGGTCAAGGTGGAAGGAAATCCACAGACCTGGGCAGGCTCATAGATCCCATGGGTTTGGCCATGCCAGCACTCACCAAGGCTAGAACCTTGATTTTTGGCATGATAGGTAGATTCTTTACCCACATGAGAAATACATATTTTGTGACTTTCATATCTGAAATAAAAGTGTTGAAATTTTTATAGAGATCAAAATATCTGTAAAAGCAAACCCTCTCGGCAATAATATTTTTAGTTGGGTTTTTTTCATATCAAAAAACTTGAAGTATGAGAAAATATCCTAAAACCTCACTGTTCTCCCAAGTTATGAGCATACACCTAGCTAAACCTTAAAGGTCAATACTGAACTCAAATCACTGTTATCACCAGTCATTCTTATCTTCTCTCTTCAGACTCAACATGTCATGCTTATTTAGCATCTGCAGAGAATATGAGCCATAAGCCATACAAGAATCGTCATGCCTAACCTTTATACATTCACAAAAGACCGTTAATAAACATGACTTGTTTGATTGTTGAGCCCCTGAGGACCTACTGAGCTGACTTCTTGGTCAACAAGACAGAAAAATGCAGTACACAGAACCATGAAAAGTCAAAAGTTCCACCGCCTGCATATCCCTACCCTAGAATTACAAAGTTTTACCTGCTCAGTATCTAGTTTTGAGGAACTTGATGTCAAATATTTTGAGCTTCACAACACGTCAAGCTTTTCTTTTTGCAGTTCTTTAGATATCTTGACAACGACTCCAAAAAAACTTACAATTTTGATATAACAGAAAAACATTAGGTTATTGATCTCAGAGTCTTAGTAACTCAAAACGGCTAAAAATGTCAGATAGAACTTTGTAATTCTGAGGTAACAACATATCACTAGCTGCTGGATCTGTCACCGCAACAATCATGATACCGAGTCCTCTTTATCGCTACACAACAGCTTCAAGGCTATGTAAAATATACCACCAGCATAGCAAAATAAACACATACCATTTCTCCCTTCTTGTGAGGTCCAATGATAATACCAAAGACAGTACGTATCAGGCTTGCCAACCTTTTCAAAATCCAATCCGAGAGATCCAAAGTTATATCATCAAATTACGTATCAGCAAACAAAATTACATAAACTGGGACAGGCTTCCGTCTAGTGTATGTGATAAAGTTCTAGAATTCCAAATTAGCAAATCTGGGACAGTCCCAGGAAATTCTGGGCAGTTGGCAAGCCCAACCTACGCAAGATGTGTCTGTCCTTTAAAAAAAAATCCTCTTCTGCGATCTATGCACAATAATATAAATGTCACAACAAGCCCTGCTGAAAAAGTTTCCCTTTGTTTCTCAAATATTATGGAACCTGTTACAGTAATCTCTGCTCCTACTCTTATTCTACAAGATACCCCACTCTCTGAAAACAGAACCCTAAGTGCAATAACAAAGATGTCGCCACCAGTGCTGATGAAAACTTTTTTTTTTCATAATAAAATATCAAACAGATGAGGAGCCAATCTTGTGGTAAACAATTATAAGTATAATACTCAAGAACACCGATGGCAAAACTGTAACACAAATAAAAAGACAGGGCAACGCTTTTTTTTCTAAAAGAGGAAAAGAAAACTTAGATAAATAATGAGCAAAGATGCATTCACAAACATGAACAAAATTATCTTACTGTAAATGAAGACCACGATGTGGTACAGGAAGTTGGACATGAGGATCCAGTAGACAATGGCCCCACCCAGCAGTGTGAGCAGCGAGCACAGAAGAGCCCCCACCTCAGCAAAACGTCCAAGGAACACTCTCACCACGTCTGAAAACTCAGTCACTACTCGACCTGGGAGACCAAAAAGAAAAACTACTTACACATATAGGCCAATACGAAATTTTTAAAAAAACATGATTCAAAACAAACAATTCAGGATCTTCAATATTCTAAATATTCTAATGTTAATGTCAGTACATCAAATATTTTATTAGACAAACAATTTAAAAAAGAAAATGAAAGCTTTTGTGACATTGTTTTGGGAAAAGATTGCTATTTACAATGATTACCAAAAACAGAAATAAAGAATGTGCAAAGCAAACAGAAAGTAATCAATGTCCCCTAGTTTCATGACAAAACAAAATAAGTTTTTCTTAATTAACAGCGCACAAGCATAAAATTTCTTTTATGATTTACAAAGATTATAAAAATAGGAAGTTTGTTGATAATTTACAAATAACAATAAAGAGACATAAACTAGCTATAATGATTCATCATCAATAAAAAAAATTTTTTTTGAAGATCAACCTGCGAGCAAGCGGCCTGAGTTGAGAACTCTGTAGGAAGTGTACGCCATGATCCCAGCCATTACAATCAACAGCACAATTCCATTGACAAAACCTGCCTGGAAAAGTAAATAAATTGTTCATCAACATGATACATGGTTTTAGTTTTAGTAAAAGTTTTACGGCATTTGTAACACAATAAGATCATGTAAGTGCCGAAGATTAGAGGTGTTACAAGAGAGTAACAAACACAAAATAAGAAGGAAAGATCAGGACGATAGTCTATGTTTGATAGGAGAGAAGGAGAAAAGCACACCAGAGCACCTGCCAACCACCCACGTGGTACATAGATCACAGCTGATATGAAAAATAGCTGAATCAATAAAAAGACACTAGGTACACTTGGTAAAAAGTCAAAACTGATTTAAAAGAACTATATTTCAAAATGTTAGACAGACCTGCTTTATAGCCCAAGGCATGCTCAGCAGTGATGTTCCCATCATGGTGTTCCACATAGAAAATCTGATGAACATAAAAAACAAAAACTAGAGATGAAAGGCTCAATGGTATTTTCAGAGCAACTGCACATACACATTGAGGCAGGCACAGTAAGTGTGGCATCATTCTGGAATTGGGTTTTGTTTTAGAAAGGTTTAGTGAAATTAGGTGCTCGTCAGCGGGATGAAAATGTTAAAAAAAAAAAAAACGACTTTTCCACCAGTTGGAAAATTTTTCTTGAATTTCTTATTTTGGGATCAACCACTTTAAAAACACATTTCTAAGTGGATTTTGCTGAATAATCTTGATCAAAGGCACAAAAAAAGTAAATTTGTAAGTTTCCAGGGATTCTCAAGCTTTCGAAGGCACACAACTTTACTGGCCATGTTCTCGCTGACGTTACCTCTGACACCAGGAGACCCCCACCTCCTGCATTCACAAATAACTTGACTTCTATTCAAGACAGATGGATTTTTTTTCATCAGAAGCAAGGAAAATGAGCAGGCTTTAAGATGATACCAATAACTCCATATGCCCAAAAATTGACGAGTGCCTCATTCCACTATGTTGAAACACATATGCTGTGCCAATGTGAATATGAAATCTAGCTTCATTAACCAAACAAAATGCAATGGTATACATACAATCACAACAAGGCATTGGTAAAAATACAAAACATGCCATTGACAGGCTTCTTAAGTGCTTTGCACAGACAACTTGATAAATGTTTAATAAATAAAAATTGTAATTCATTTACCCGGTCAACATAGCAGTCACTTAAAAAGTGATTGTAACTTGATGACAATTTCTTTTCATAAAGTATTGGAATCTCTCTACAAAATCCAACTAAACAAGAGAAATGTACATAATATTATGTTCTTAAGAAAATTGCCATCATGCTCACTCACTTATACAGCATAAAGCATGAAAAATATCAACATCATTTGTGAGGCAGCGTGTTGGAATCAGGCACTCTTCAATTTTTAGGCATGTAGAGTTATTGGAATCATCTTAAAGCTTGTTCGCTTGTCTTTATTTGGATGAAAAAAAATGTCCATTTATCTTGAATACAAGTCGAGATATTTGAGAACGAAGGAGGTGGGGGTCCCCTGCTTTCAGAGGAAAAATTAATGAGAATATGGCCGCCAAAGATTAGTTATTTCCTTAGCTTAAGAGTCCGTGGTAACTGAAAATTTACATTTTTTGTCCCTTTAATCAACGTTTTTAAGAAAATATCCACACAGAAATTAGTTCTTTAATGGGCATGAAGGTGTTTAGCCAAAAAACAAAAATTTGGTAAAAATTCACAAACCTGCGGAAAAATGCAAGTTTCTTCACTTTGATTATTTGGACGATAGCCTGATTCCACCACACTGCCTAACATTTGTACTTTCAAATTTTAGACACATGTCTTGCTCAACATCACTATCACCACATCTGGACTCTAAATTATCTTCAAGCACAAAAAAATTTACCAACTACAGCAACAGTGAACAACTCACAAAGACTTGTTTCTACCTTATACAACATGACATGGGCTGAAGGGCTGTTGGATCAACAGCAATAACAAGAACTACAACGACAACAACCAAAACAAGCAAGACTCCTAAACAATACAACCATTGGTTATACTCACATCGTGACAATACTGTTCTGAGTGGCAGTCGCTTCATTAACAATATCAACTTCAACCGAATTTTCTTGAGGATCAGGTACACCCTGTGTTTATATGATCAATAAAGCAATTCATTATAAACTTTGTTTTGTAGTACCCTATATCACAACTGTTAGGGGGTATCATTAAAAAATTAATGTCACAATGTCAGCCTAAAAAATTGTTTTAAAAAGAACAATGAGAAGCTAAAACTATTACATAAATCATACCCGCTGATCTCTCAAAATGGATCAGAAACCAGGAGAAAAAAAAAGAGACAGAGAGAGAGAGAGAGAGAGAGAGAGAGAGAGAGAGAGAGAGAGAGAGAGAAACAGAGACATAGACAGAGAGAGACATAGACAGAGAGAGAGAGAGAGAGGGAGAGAGAGTCGAACATGTCAAAGACCATCACCCATTCTCGAGAACAAAGTGGTCATCTTAGACAGTGTCACCATCATTTTTTTAAAACACAGGAGGGTAGTTTGGGAAGCCGTTGTTTGTCTTGGATGAGTGGTCGTTACAGTAAGTTCAGTTGTATACACACATGTACCTGCTGAGAACCATTGAGACCACTGGTATGGGGTGAAGAGGCAGAGCCAGAGAGTAAGCGGCTCTGCTCATTATATGGGCCATCACCATCATCAGAGAGGTCTCCATTGTTTAAAGATGCACGTCCGGGATCATAGCCCCTGTAGATATACATCATTGTAAGTAATGGAAGACCGATATTCTAAAAATTATCAATAAGATAACAATTTTTTTACCAAGGCAAATTCAAGATCAGGGGCGTAGCTTTAAAGAAGGAGCCAAAACAGTAGAAAGGCTGCAGAAAAGAGTCAGGAGCCCAGAGGAGGAGGAAAAGGGCTGGGGCCAAGGACCTTACAATAAATGGACCCTCCTCTCTCTCTTCTCGGCACCACGCACAGCACGCCCAGTGGAACATCCAAAATGGCGCCAACCATGGTCACCCAGCGCGAACTACGGCCTTTTCTTTATACAGGATATATAATAGGGCTGGGTAGTGCTATGGTTTGGGAAGGAAGCACAAAAGAGGGGTGAAGGTGGGGGAGCGGGCCTGGGGAAGTAAGATGGAGAGAGAGAGAGAGAGAGAGAGAGAGAGAGAGAGAGAGAGAGAGAGAGAGAACAAGAAATAAAGGGGGGAGCTGTCTAATAAGGACTGTTTATGAACTTTACGTTTTGATACCCATGTTGACAAGTCGTGAAACACAGCCTACCAGAAGTTAAAAAATCAAGAAAGGCAGTGGGTTGGATATTATTATTAGAGGGAGAATAGATGATCAGGGAAACAAAATCACAGTTCGATGTGATCCCATCTGACACGGTCCTGTTGGCCCTGCCTACCGAATCACGCCTTGCTGTAGTTCACACCTGGGTATGATCCTTTCATTATAAGGCCCCTGCGCCTGAAGCGAACATTGTACCACTCATCGAGAAATTTAGAGCAGTGATGTTATCCTAAGTATGAGTGTGTGGATGATCTATGAAGGTTGTTTGTTCAGTAAAACATGATCTAAAATGCAGGAACTTCAGACTCCAGAGTGAAATCTTAGGGGTGACTTTTGTGTAGAAAAATTTGTTGTTTTTGGGGGGTTGTTTGTTTTTTTGTTTTTATTTAACAATGGAATCTTAAGTGAACTGACCATAAACAATAGGATGTAAGGTGGAGACAACTATGATAGATTAAACCGGGTAGAACTATTAAAGGGGACTCAAACTCTTTCCACCCCCAACCCCCCTTCCTTCGACTTTCCTTAACACAAAAGTTATTCAGCGTTGTTGTTAAGCAGGTACTGAATTTTTTTTTTAAATATGGAGCCACTTAACATCTACATTTACACATCAGTATGAGATAAACGGATTTTAAAACATAAAATAAGTCTACTGACTTGCCTAATCTCAAGGACCTCAGAATAAAACCTTCTCTAGATTTCAGTGCCAGAGTTGGGCAGTGCGCAACGCAGGTTGACCATGGTTCCGCTGCGAGAGAGGGCTTAAACTATCAGGCGTGCGTTGCCGCCCACAGAGCAGCCTCCATTACTGTATAACCTCCTTGGGAGAGGATGGGGGCAGAAATTGGAGATAAAAGCAGACAACATAACATCATAATTCTTCAAGAGCAGGAAAGTTAAGTTTTAGTAGAGGTTTTACAGCGCTCTCAAATGCGTAAGGTCATATGAGCGCCAGAAGATTAGAGGTGTTACAAGAGAGTAACAAACATAAAAAAGATGAAGGGGAGATCAGGACGATAGATGTTTGATAGGAAAGAAGAAGCAAACCACACCAGAGCACCCGCCAACCACCCACAGAGCAGGAAAGGAGGTGAAAGGAGAACATTTTAGAGAAGAAAATTTTCCATTGCCGTCAGGTTTTGATAAACACCGTAACTTCTGGACCATGAGAGCCTCCCCCCCCCACACACACACACAATTAGGCTTAATGTGATTAGTAATACAGTTCAAATAGAAACCATCAAATATTTTACAAACTAGTCTAGTTTCAGTAACTTGCGATGAATAAAGTCAACATTCATGTAAAATGGATAAAAATAACAGAGTGATTATTCTCACCCGGGGTGAAGATAAACTGGAAATTATTCTCACTCGGGTAAGAATAAAATTGATACTATTCTCACGCCGGGCGAGAATAACAACAGCCTACTATTCTCAGCCCTTTTTTTTCTTTTCGGGCACCATAGGACCCCTGTCACTGAACGCTACAGGCGACAAAACTCGCCTCACTCTCTCACTCTGCTGAGCGCGGGAGGCGACTATTGTCGATTTGGGGGAAAACCTTATCTTTTGAGCAAATAGCATAACCTTTCGTTGCAACAGTATTTATTGGTTCTGTAAGCCTTAATGGAAAATTTCACTCTTGACAAGTTTATTAACCAATCAAAATTAAGAAAAAAAAATAAGCCTAGGGTCAATGCACTGCGTGCCTTAAAAATAACTGTGGGTTCTGTTGGGGATAACAATTAAACAAGTTTTTAGGTTGTAAACAAATGCCAATTCTAACAATACAGTGAAAAACTATTACTAACATTATTTCATTAAACAGCTTTCAGTTAAGGCTATTATTTTTTTAAACATACTACTCTGGCAAGTGAATTCCTTTCTGAATTTAGAATATACACTTGTCTTGGTTTTGGTGAAGATATGTGTGCATACTCTCAAGATTTTTAATTTAAATGAAACATTAACAATCCCCGCGGGAGCCTAGAAAAATTGGCCAGCGCTCTGGGGTAGGTCATAAACCTCTTACAATTCACAAATTATTTTGTATCATCTTTTCTCAACACCCAGGAAGGCCTAAGAATAAAAATCCATTGCATTTTCAGACCAGGTGAGAATAATACTCATTTTATTCTCACCCGGTGTGAGAATAACAATATAATATTATTCTCACCGCGGGTGAGAATAAAAAAAATGGATATTATATTTTTATTTTCACCCCTGGTGAGAATAACGACAGCCTAAAATTAAAAAAGAAAGGGGCTTTACAAAATCTGAGCAAAAGACGGAAGTGAATAGAATACCATGGTTATATTTGCAGCTGACATAGATCTAGATCTAGTAATAATAAGGAAGTGATTATTCACACCGGGTGTGCGAATAAGAAATAATTTTATTCACACCGGGTGTGCGCAAAAGAATTAATATTATTCACACCCCGTGAGCGATTAAGAAATAATTCTATTCGCACAGGGTTGAGCCTACGTCACACCCTTTAAATGTTAAAACAACTGTACACTAGATCTATATCAGATGCCATACTTGTTTCCGTTTTAGGGTTAAAGCATGCACTCTCTCTCTCTCTCTCTCTCTCTCTCTCTCTCTCTCTCTCTCTCTCTCTCTCTCTCTCTCTCTCTCTCTCTCTCTCTCAAGGCGCAAGGAAAACAAAAAACGGAAAAAAAAGAGATACTTGAATCATTATCATTGACACAATTTAACACACAACTTGAATTCCAATTTGAGTGGGGGTTTTTCGTATCACATTGCACAATTAGAATTAGATCTATCCCTACCAAAGATAGCACATAAAACAAGATTGTTCACTCAACCCAAA